CATGATTTTTCATTCCCCTTTCCATAGAAAAATGTATATTTCCCTGCTGGTGCAATTCCAACTCCGTCCCATCTGACCTCCTGTACTCCCACTAAATCTAACTTATATTTTAAGATTTCTTCTGCCACTGCCCTGAGCTCAGTGTCGCATACTATAATGTAAGATTTGAAAGTATGTAGACATGAAGTTATACACTATTTTTATTTCTCTTTCTTGTAATTTTGATGCATACTTCAAAGAAGGATTACACAGAGGAGAGATTCAGTTACATGAGATGGGGGTTGAAGCCTATATATACTTCGAGCAGGGGGGAGGGGGGGATATGTATATTGAATTTTACTATATTTAAAAATAAACATCGAGGATTGGGCATACGCTTCTACTAGCAGTGTGTGAATGAGCTTCCATTAGCAGTGTTTAAATGCCTGAATGCACAAATCGGGGTACACTGGATACAACGACCATACTCATCATTGTACCACTGGTGCACTTCAGACATTAAGGTTAAACAGAGGGACAACTTTACCTTTACCTTATGAAGTTTACACAATTCTGTTTACCATTGTGCCAAACTGCAGTTCAAGTATTATGTTTTTGGACATTATCCACTGTCTATATCTAGAACACCGTCCTGTTTATTTTTCAAAACCCAATATTCCAGAGACTGGATTCTGTCTCCATCAGAGAATAGCTATTGGGCCCAACTACGATGGGGTACCCAAAAGAAAGCGAACTAATTTTTTTGTGGGAGGAGCTTTTGTAGTACCGCGTTTTGCCGCTTTGAGCGCATACAGCTAACATTCCTGAGTCGATAAGCCGACTACCGTTGCTTCAGAAGGTAAGGACTAGTTTCGGCAGAGTTTATAGTGACAACTGTTTTGTGTGATCATCGTTTTTGCAATGGCTGATTTTCGTGAACAGCGTGCGGCGGTGAAATTCTGCTTTTTGCTAGGGAAAAGTGGAACAGAAACTCTTGAAATGTTAAAAATGGCATACAAGGATGATGCTATGGGGAAAACTCAAGTGTTTGAGTGGTTTTCCTGTTTCAAAAATGGTGAAATGTCAATTGACGACAAACCTCATTCTGGTCGTCCTTCCACGGCCCGAACACATGAAAATGTTGAAAAAATTCGTGAAATCATCAAGGAAGATCGATGACGGACCATTGAAGAAATTGTGGAGCTGTCAGGAGTGACCTGGAGCTCAGCAGCCAGATTTGTGGCAGTCGGGTGACTGGTTTTTCCATCATGACAATGCCCCTGCTCACACAGCCCTGTCTGTATGACAATTCTTGACCAAAAATGGTATGACCCTTGTTCCTCACCCTCCATACTCACCTGACCTTGCGCCGTGCGACTTTTTTTTGTTTCCTCGAATGAAGAGAGACATGAAAGGAAAAAACGACGGAGACGCTGTCAAGCATCTCAAAAGATGAATTTAGACAATGTTTTGAAAAATGGAATAAAAGACTAGACAAGTGTAATAGTGTAAGTGGAGAGTAGTTTCAAGGGGATTGAAGGTTTATGCTTAAAATTTGAATAAATAAGTTTAAAAAAAAAATAAGTTCGGTTTCTTTTGGGTACTCCCTCGTAAGTAGGTTTTTATCTCAAGATGGAGACAGAATCCAGTCTCCAGAAAGTTGTGTTTTGAAAAATAAACAGGACAGTTTTTAGATATAGACAAAGCGATGAATAATGTCCAAAAACATAATACTTGTACCAATGTACCATCATCACAAACTTTAAGATCTTATCAGACTGCAGTCATCTTAATCTTATTTGAACATCTAATGCAAAAGCCTGGATCACTGCATGCATCTTCACAGACTGCTTTTGCATTCATGTAACTCCTGACCTCAGACTACTGCCTGTGTGAAAAACAGTTTCAAGATTGTATTTGTTCTAGACAATACACCAGCACATGCAGGTAAGTCACTTAGCAGACATAAGCAGAAATGTTGTTCCATTATTTTTATTGTTTATTTTCTATAATATATGGAAAAATGCATACAAGCATGCTAATACATATCTGCACATAAGAAAGCACATGTGTATGAAATATAAGAACAAAATAAAATAACTACACAACCCTCACCACGCACGTTAATTATAATGGGAAAATATCCCTGCACAAAGTTCTTTTGCTCAGTGTTCAAGTTTTCATAAATGCTAAGTGATGCGTTCTTCAAAGGAATTGCTGTATTTGTAGCAATGTGAACACACTGTCAAAATACTGCTGTATAACTTTCACTCTGTGGAAACTCTAGATTCAAACACAGAGCTCGGCAAACCAGAAGTCTGTGCTGGCACCAAAACAATTAAAGGGAACATTGAACACAGTACAGTAATTAAATCAGCATTACTGCAATGCACTTGATGAGTAGCAATGGCAAAGGAGCACAGTTAAAAGAGTTACAGCATCATACAATGAAATGTGAAAGACTGGTATGTTCAACCCCCGTTACTCATAATTACTCTTCTTCGCCATAGAAGAACACCCCAGTCTTCCACATTTAAATATGTCACGTTTGTAACTAGGCATTGGCTTTGGACTGGTAATCGGACTTACTGAATACTTATATCTCACAAAACAAGAACAAACTCCGTGGTTTTAGTCCACAAGCAACTATACCGACCGAGCACCTGCTGCTTGTTGGCGAAGTTAGAGCCAACTTTAGCGGATAGGTGTCGCGTGATCAGCACAACGAATCCCCATGGTCGCTATTTCCTTCAAATAGCTCCTCAATTATCCTCACAAGGCTGAGTGGACCCCGTTCCAGTTCCTATACTGCTCAGAAAATATGGTAGAGCCGAAAATCGAACCCAGGACCTCTGGATCTGTAGCCAGGAACTCTGACCACTAGACCACAGAGGCATCACTTATACCTCACATCTACAATTACAATTATTATTGCACTATCGCTAATCTACACTTTACAAATTACTACAACACATGGTAAGTCTCAGTATATTACAGTCACTTACATTCATTTATCTGTATGCTGCCTAATACACAAAACAACTTACTTGATAGCTTCTCGTGATCCAGTAAGTGTACAACTCCTGTCAGGCATTCCAGCACTATCTGGTGCCATCTGGATCTTGCATCCTGACTCATTCTGAAGACGGCTAATTTGTTCACCACCTCGACCAATAACTGTGGAGAATTTGGATACATGACAAAAAAGTCGAACATACTCAAGGCTTGAGGAAAGGAAAAGCTCATGAATTAAGCATCAATATTTTATAAAATGATACAGCACAGTCCCTTGAAATTACAATACAAGAAAGTAGATAATGGAAAATTCTCAATAAAAAGCAACATATTACTTAGTGGAATTCCAACAATCATGATTTTTATAAATGGGATAAATTTTGTTGAATTTTGACATAATACCATCTTTACATCAACTCATACAACATGCAGCAATGCTCACATTTCTAATTTTATGTAATATACCAAACATTATTTCTTTCCATTTTGAACAGCTGAAGCAATGATCATCTATAAAACATACTTAAGAGTTTCATAAACTTCAACAACATAACGGTATTCTTGACACTAAAAAATTTTCTGTAACTGAAAATGACACTGGTGTGACTGTATCTAGCAGAAGGAAGTCACGTGTAAACATACTTCCGTATGAAATGGATGTAACTTTTTCCAACTTTATTGCGAACAGAGCATGATATTTTGTTACACTAATTAAAACTAGACTATTTGTTAGATACATACAGAATTTACTATCTACTGATGCCAAACACATTTACAACCAGTCTTACTTCTAACACTACTCATACCTTCACATTCTTATGATATGACATAAACACCGTTCCAAGTGCAACAATTTATTGTAGTTCTTTTGTCTTGCTCTCTTCTACACTACATGTTTCGGCCGCAAACGGCCGTCATCAGGTGTATAAACTTGCGTAGCTGTTACACTGCACTTAGTTTAAAATTTAAAACCATGAGTCTTCCCAACTGTTCTTTTAGTCGGCCGTTCGCGGCCAAAACATGTAGTGTAGAAGAGGGCAGGACAAAAGATCTACAATAAATTGCTGCACTTGGGACAGTGTTTATGTCATATATCGTATTTTATATAAATTTCTTTGCTGCCCATATGTGCAGCTCTTATATCACATGACTATTCTCTACCAGTGCATTATTTGGTTTAAATGTCATTATCACTTCTAAATACAGTACGACCTCACTAATTCAAACTACTGTAATTTGGAGTGGACCCTTGTCCAAATTATAGAAGTGCTACTGAAAATATGTTCTGGAAAGTTACAAAATGGACTTCATGTGTCTTTTTAGGCAATACACCTTTCATTTTGAAACTAAGATTTCAAATCATAAAATAAATTTACTTGCCATAAAATGTAAAAATGTAAGTTTAAACATTAGTCTTAAGAAGAGTTTAGGTAGACTACACAGTATTATTGAGACCATGCTTAAAAAAAATAAACTTATTCTGGTTTATGTTCCTCTTTTGTACTGTTCTTTTACTACATTTTTTCATTTCCCTCAGCATTAGGTAATATTTGTTGTAATGTGTGTTTGAGTTACACCATTTATTACACTCTTGACTGGAAGCACCATGATCAAGTTTCTTTAAAATTTCCATTTTTTCTTGGAGAGTTCGTGTCTTATATTTTCCTTTAGCACTCATTTTAACAGACAGGAAATACACTAATACAATACTAAACCACTGAAATGAAAATGAAATTAGGGTTATTAAAATATAACATGCACTGTTCACATAAATGCAGAAAGTTTTAACTTACTTTCCTGCATATCTACTCTTTTGCATCCAGTTTTCTAGATCTACAATGCTTTGACTTGAAATCTCCTTTAAAATGGCCTTGATGTTTGACGTGAGGCCTACATGTAACTACCATCATCTACATCTGAGCTACATGCAGCAGTTTGCAATCACTTATTGCAACAATGCGATCATCAAGGTCATAATGCACAAAAGGAAAAAAAGTTGTACAAATTATCATGAATTCCGAATTAGTGAGGATTCACTATATGACGGACAGTCAAAAAGTTCCCAGAATGGTGGTATAGCACTCTAATGGGAGGACGTACAGCAACGATTACCTAATCACCTTCAAAGTAGGACTCTTGCGCGCGCACACACTTGCTCCTTTGAGCCTGCCATTGTTGGAAGTAGCGGTGGAAGGCTTCTTTTGGAATCTTCCAGAGCTCAGCCATCACATTTCATTTGATGTCCCCCATGGTTGCGAAACGTGTCCCCTTGAGGCACATTTTCAGAGTAGGGAACAGCCAAAAGTCACTCACGAGCCAGATCCGGAGAGTATGGCGGTTGAGTGATGACAGGAATGTTTCTCTGTGAGGAACTGCTGTACAACAAGTGATGTGTGGCTTGGTGTGTTATCGTGATGCAGAAACCACTGTCCCTGCCACTTGTCGCGCCGCTTACTCTGAACATCGCGCAACCTCTGCAAAACTTGCATGTAAAAATGGCCCGTAACAGTAGCAACTTCTTGCTCCAACTCCAGGATGGTCATTCTTCGATCACATCAAATCAGTTGTCGCACTTTTCCAATCATTTCTTCGGTTCTGGATGTCAAAGGTCTCCCACTGTGCTGGTCATCCTCTAATGTCTCCTGCCCATTCTTAAACTGGGAAAACCAGTCGTAAACGGCGGATTTCTTTAGTGCAGTATCACCATAAACTTGCTGAAGGGCCGATAGCATCTCTCAAGCAGATTTTCCCAATGTGCACATGAACTTGATGTTTGCAAGCTGTTCGAACTGCGACACTGTGCCAAATGACGAACACTCACGTCTAATTCAAATGGAACAGTAACGACACTGCACATTGAAACCTGTCCAGACTTGTTGCACCTGTGAGCAGACACGCTGAACTTCCACCACAACAATGTGTGCACTATCAAATCGCTTGTTCTCCGTCTGCAGGGGAATTCCAGGAACTTTTTGACTGCCCTACATGTAAGGTTTTAAAACTAATATTGTACTTCTGAATAAATCCACTGACAGAACTTTACTACAATGAGGTGTGTGCAATCTGTGAGTAATTTGACTCTGTGGTACAATTTACTATGTTTGCCTTTTACTTTGTTTTCCTTCCTTCATCATCTCAACCACATCCATCTCACTCACAAATTTTGTTTAATGCCATGACAGATGAAACTGTTAATAAAGTTAGTGGCCAAAACAAAATGAAACTGAAGGGAACCTCAATCTTTGGAATCTTATTATAAAAGAATATGGACAAAATGGTGACAGGATTCCAAGGAACCTGCTCACAAACATTAGAATAAAAGCTGACACAATGGTTGCACAAATTTATTTTGGAAATGAAATGATGTCAAATGGGAAAAATGACATATCAGTGGAAAATACAAAATTGTTTTGACGTCTATCAAATTATAACAGGAAGTACATTTCAAACTGACATTAACATGTAATGCCAAAACAGAGAACTGTACAAGGTGCTATGAAAGCAAAATCCAAGAAATGAATATGAAATCGGTTTGAATTACAAAAAAACAAACTCCATGGTTTTAGTCCACAAGCGAACTACACCAACTGAGCTTGTCGGCGAAGTTAGTGCCAACTTTTGCATATAGAGGGTGTCACGTGGTCAGCTCAATGAATCCCCACAGCCGTTAATTTCGGTTTTTTTTAGACCAGTCTGTTTGAATCATTGAGGATAAAACAATAGAATTAGAAATTGGTTATGAAAACAGAATGGATAACAAGGATACTGAGAAGGGTATTAGAATTAAACTTATAGAAACAAGACCCATGAGATGTTCCAGAACAAGATTTGCCAGGTACTGACAATATCAAGAAGACAGGAAAAGAACTTGCATGAAATCAAGAAAGACTGACTGAGGAAACAAATTTTTTCATCCAGCATGCCATATAAATTGTAAAAATGGCTTAAGAACAGAGAGACTTCCAACTGAATTTAGCTGGCGTTAGTCTCTTAGAACTTCAAATCCTGTTATCTTCATGAAAAAGAACTGAAATACACTGTAATGTACATCTAACATCCTCTTTTTAGTCTTCAGATCTAGAATCTTCCTCCAAAGAAATCCACTATTCATTGTAATGTAATTCAAACACCCTCGTCCAATCTATTTTCAAGTGCCCACATTGCTCAAGGCAATAACAGACTCATCTCGTATACTCGTACACCTCCTCTGCATTACTATTCCGTAATACCATGACACCAGCTACTATTCATTCTTTCAAAGAATTTCTCATGCATGTTGCAATCTATGTGCCTCTCCTCTAGTATCCAAATATGTAGTTTTCTTTTTTCCTTCCTCCAGTGTCCAAATGTACATGTCACATTAAATTTAGTGTACTGTAATACCAACACTGCATTTAACAGACTTCTGCTGCCAGCAGGCAAACACCTTACTACTGTAGAGTGCATTACATCTGCATACTTGCAAATAATTCTACTTTCTAATGATTTAAAGAATTTCTCACACTTACTTAGCCCAACCATCTTATCGGGAACACGTATGTCTTCATTCTGAACTGCCCCGAGGCCAGGGACGCCTACACCGACGCCCAGGCCCTGCAGGCCCGCTGCTGCCGCGGCCGCCACTCTGGCCGCCACCGCCGCTGCTTGAACAGCTGCTGCTGCTGCTGCACTGTTTGTTCCAGGCGGAGATGTTGCCTGTTGCGCTCGCAACGCTGCCAGCTGGACTCCTGCTGGGTCATTCACTGCGGCCACCTTTTTTGGTTCTGGTTCTTTTTTGTGATCAAAACAATATAAACTTTAGAAAGAGCGAAAACATGCAGGGTACAGACTCAAGTCCATGGACCCTCTTGAAGTGGCTTAGAAGAAAAATGCCTAACCATTAAGAAAATAGACTTTCTACCAAAAATGTAACAAGGAGCAGCCTTGCAAAGCTAGTAGTCACCCAGCCACTTAACAAATTCTCCACATTTTACAGCATTTGAAGGTTCATTGTCAAGTTCACAAGAGCCTGCCACTGGTCCCTATCCTCAGCCAGACAAATCCAGTCCATTCTCTCCCACTCTATGTCCCAAAGATTCATTTAAATATCTTCTGACATACCAGGTTCATTCAATATATTCCCAGAATGACCATGTGAACACCACTAGTCATGTGCATAAGGAGGCACGTGGAATGGCTGATAGTTGTGATTATAACCTATATGTAGCAATTAAGTCCAAAGAGCTCAGGCGATGCTTGGTTGTGAAATAGGCGTCTGAATGAGTTTGGCGGTTTGTTCTGGTCATATAACAATATGATGTCCACAAAGGACCAAAGAGCGTGTGTAACGTTTGTATGAAACTGAATAAAACAGCTGTGAAAACCCACATTTATCAAACTTATAGAACTGAGGGTTTAAGTAAAACAATGGCCTACAAATGGCATTTCCAAAGTAGAACATCAACGGATGATAATGAAAGGTTGGGAAAACCTTCAACTTCAAAAACCAACAAATGCCCAAGTGAAAGACAATATACACAAAAATTGACTCTCTGTACAAGCAGCAGAAGAGAGGAATATCCACTGGCTCATGTCATGCAATTTCAACATAAGAACTAGGGATCCATCCAAGTCTCAATGAAATTTGTGAAAAGCCTCTGATCAATTATCAAATAATTCAATGCATACTCATTTGTGAAGATCTTTGAAAAAAGTTAATGAAAATGAAAGTGTTTCTAAAAATGCATTCATAAAAGATGAGGCAAGGCTTTAAGGATATGGCAAAACAAAACAATAATCACTGTTATGGAAGCGCCTTGATTTGACAAGCCCCCAGGAGGCATGACAAGCACACTTGAAAGCAGAAACTATGATCTTTCTTTACTGTCACAGAATTGCTCATAAGTTTGTTCCCGCAGAACAGACAGTTAATCACGTGTATTATCTCAAGTTCTGGGGATGTGAGGAATGCAGGGGAGGGAACCCTGGAAATGTGGACAGCAGGATGTTATCTCCAAAAAGTCAATGCACAGGCTCAAACTGCAATGTGAGTTCTTGGCAAAGCATTTGAATCCTGTCCCTCTATAGCCTCTTTATATACCTGACCTACCCCTTCCAGTCTCTTTTCTACTCCACAAAATAGAAATGACTCTGAAAGGAAGATTTCAAATTGCAGAGGACATTATTAGGAATGTGCCATGAACTGAGAGTGAGTCACCAAACATGCTTTGAACAATGCTTCCAGAGATAAAAAGAGATAAAAGAAGAGGGGCATTAATGCTCAATTAAATTATTTTGAAGGTGATAAGCATAACTAAGTTGTAAGTCATGGAAAAAATTGTTACTGCTGAATTCCAGGAACTTTCTGAACAAGCCTGGCATGTCCAAGTCTTCCAAGGTCTTTAACGTTCTGACTAATATTTTGTACACATTTCTGACCTCTCCCACGTGGGTTACAAGTGCTGCCCATCATACTAGCAATGTCTGCTGAAGAGTACAAATTATGAAGCTCTTCATTAGGAAATTTTCTCCAGCCTTCTGCCATTTCTTTCTTAGGGCCAAAAATTTCCGTCTGCACCGTTTTGAAACACCCAATTGGTGTTCTCCCCTTCATGTGACAGATCAAGTTTCACACCCACAAAAAATGCATGTAAAATTCCAGCATACTTTAATATCCTCATTTCTAGGATCAAAGATGGGGATATAAAAGAGTCTGAACTGAATGGCATTTCCAAAATTTATTTGGTCTTAAATTTTTTATGAATGTAAATTACTGTCTGTTCCCAAAAATCTGATTCTGGCACATTTTTGATCAACTATACATTACAATTTTGTCCTATATTCTTGTGGCAATACATCAATACTTGGTTTTCTATTATTTTTCTTCTAGCTCAAACTCCCAGCAGCATGTTCTTCTTTACAGTATTCATATCTGCATCCACTAAACTGATATCATCAGCACTGAACAGAAATCAATGTGGACCGTTTACTTCCAAGCCCCACTGTTTTCTAGGGCAATCTTAATGGCATATTCCAAAGCAAAACTGAAAAGTACCAACAAAACATATCCTTATAAGTTTTGAGGTTTTCACGGCGATGACTACGAAGAAAGTCGTCTTCTGGGTTTAGGCGCCGTGAAGAATACACGGCGCCTAAACCCAGAAGACGACTTTCTTCAAAGACATCTCCTTGTTTCAGGCCACTGAGTACAGGAAATACATCTGACAAATGTCTATACCCATATGAACTACTTAACCACAAACAAAAATCACATACGAGGTGCTACTGAAAAGTTCCCAGACTGTTATTGTAACTGCATCAGTGAAAGATGAGAGGGGAGGCCTAGTTCATGTTTCTGCAAGCCTATTATATCAGTCTGCCACATGACACCATGCTGTGAACATGCATTGGTTTTAAGAGTGCTTTTTCGATTTCGTGTTTCATTTTGTCTGTGATGGATGCCAAAACCGAGCAACGTGTCTGCATCAAGTTTTGCGTGAAGCTCAGTATATCCCCTACCAAAACCCTTGAAATGCTTCATGAGGCTTTTGGAGAACATTCTTTAAGTCAGACAGCAGTTTCTGAATTGCATTCACGTTTCAAGGCTGGTCAAGTGTCACTTGAAAATTACGAAACACTGAGGGCGACCAGGCACCAGCAAAACACTGAAAAATTTTGAGAATTCATCCACAAAGACCGTCACTGAACATTCCACGTACTCGCAGACACCAATAGGATCAGTTATGGCGTTTGTCAGATATTACTAGAAAATTTTAACATGTACAGAACTGCCGCGAAGTTCGTTCCCCAACTCTTGACAAATGATCAAAAGCAGTGGCACGTGAACATGTGTCTTGAGCTATGAGAAAAGGCTACCGAGGACCCAACTTTTATCTCTAGGATCATACCCGGTGATGAAAGTTAGATTTACGGTAATGATCCAGAAACAAAGCAACAATTGTCGCAGTAGAAGAGCCCACAATCACCAGGGGCAAAAAAGCGTGGCAGGTCCAGAGTTCAACAAAGAGAATGTTCATTGCTTTTTACTGTGAATCTGTTCCTCCTAACACTAAGGTCGACTCTGACTTGTACTTGTACTGTAACTTTTGAGACGCTTGAGAGAAAATGTGTGATGAAACAGAGCAGAATTTTGGCGCAACCACAACTGGCTTCTTCAAGAAAATGTGCCCGTCCACATATCCCTGAAAGCCAGGGAGTTTGTGGCTAACAACAATATGGTTATTATTCCCCATCCTCCCTACTAGCTGGACTTAGCCCCTTGTGGTTTCAATGTTACCCAAACTGAAAATGAAACTGAAGGGATGACACTTAGAAAGTGTCTGACATACAAAGGGAATCTCACGTGGTACTTGACAGCATTAAGGGAAATGACTTCATTGCTTTTGAAGCATGGAAAAAATGATGGGATCGTTCTATACATTCCCAAGGAGACTATTTTCAAGAAGATAGCCAAATATTGGGTAAGTTAAACCAGCATTCCTTTTCTGACCTAGTTCGGGAACTTTCTGATAACACCTTGTATGCAAATACTGCCAAATTTCAACCTATTCAGAAAATACATCTAAACCATATGCCATTCCAACATCATGCACATGTAAGTAATGTCAAAAAGTAGCCTACATGTCAAGTCCAGGATATCAATCTGCTTATCTGCCTACCTTGTCCATTTATACACATTTCAAACAAGTTCCCAACAAAACACATACTAAGGGACAGTGATTTTTGTGAAGGACAAAAGCAATAATGGCAGTTTCTAACAGCATCAAGGCAATAACCTGACCTACACAGCTCATATAACCCCAATCAAGACTCTTGTATTAGTGATGGTTTAGACACCAGGTAAAAAAAAAAATTCTGTGGACAAATATATAGAAACAAAAAAACTTTGCTATATGAGTTATGGATGGGGCATAAAAAACATTTGATAGAATGTAATTGTGGCTTACTTCAGTTAGCAATTTTCTGAAAATGGGAAAACAAACTAAGGTCAATAAACTACAGACTCAGGCCTGATATTAGCATACAAGTCTTTCTTGCAAATTAATGTTCTGTAAATATTTAGCACCTTCACTGCATATTATTTTCTCATCACTTTCCTAAATAATGCAATTTTAAAGTAAAAATATAAAGACATACCCCAGTGAATGAAGAATGACAAAGCCAAAGGAGAAGAAATGCCACACTATACAAAAATGGATGCCTGTAGGACTTAAGTCAAATTTTGCAGCAATAGAGTTAACCTTTAATTATGAATGTTATATATATCTAACAGCAAGTAACATCCCGTGGCCAAATGTTTTATCTAACGCAGGACATGACACGTGCTCGCTCTTTCAGAGTACTGACAGTTTGATCTTCAGTTTGAAACCATAACAAACGCACTCAAGGTCATGTCAGTGGTTCATTCATTAGCTCTGAAGAATGAAATCGTTTATAACAGTACTGGTTTGTTTAGATACGACTGTTCATGACCTGGTCAACCAAATAGAGCCCAGCTTTGTTTTGAGAAATGAGGAGTAACTATTCATCTGTGCTCGCAGATTAGTGCTTCTAGAGCTTTCAAGGAAGTGTGACATATTCAAGGATTGGTTCTCAGTAGTGAATTATCAGTTAGGAAGTCAGTGTTGGATTGCCATATATTTCTTTATCAGTTAAGGCAGTCAGTGTCAGACTGTCATATACAGAGTGTCCCAAACTTCGGGAGGGTGTTCCTTATGTTAAAGTATGCCGATATAATCCAAAACACCTACGTCCAAACTTGAACGGTTACGGAGATAATGGCCAGAGAAGTGTGAAAACTTTGACAGCTGTTACACACTTGTTGATTACAAAATACATATTAAAACTGGCAGGAATATGTGGTTTCTGTAATGTTAATAATGTACGTAACATCAAACTAACTTGTGAGTGACATGAAGCCATAAAATTGAAGTACAAAATACTCGCTCGCCATGTCATAATTGTCCTTAGGTTTCCAAGCACTATACATGACACATGACCGGCAAGCGCTGACGTAACGTGGCTGACTGCGCTATATGCCGACCACATAACTGTATTAAACGTACATTCACAGAAAATCTCTTTTGAAATTTCGTTTCCATTATCTCATGTGGACTATTATGGGACCACGTATGCACATTTCGTAAATTATTTACACCGTCCAGGGTAAAAGACGCCTCATCACTGAATAAAATGACGCTTAACAGTTCGGGATGAGCTTTTTATCCAGTGGCACAAATCCATACGCTGTGCATGGTCGCCTGGTTCCAGATGTTGTACCTTTTGATCATGGTAAGGATAACTCTTCATCATGTAAAGTTCGCCACACCTGCATATGTGATACGCCAATGCGAGAGGCCATTCTACGAGTGGACAGACGCAGACTTCTCTGAACCATCTCAAGAATGTTCTCTCGTGTGGTTATCATTTGTACATCCTCCCTTTCAGAGTGCACAGAACCACCCAGAAGAGAACCAGTATCACGCAATGTCTGGTGAATTCGTGTAAATACACTTCAAGATGGAATCCTTTGATGGGGAAAACGCCTTTGGTATTCTTCAACAGCAGCATGTGCATTGCCACCGCAAAATCCACACACAAAATGCATATCACAATATTCCACGTGTGAAAACACAAAAGGCATTTCAGCAACTCCGCACAACTAATTACCAACCATTCACCACGCAGCCGCAACGTACTCTGTAGGTAGTGCATGAGCTTACAGCTAGTGTGAATAACCACACTCAAGGACAAACATAGATAAGACTTCTCAGCTGACAGGTATACTGCGTGGACCCGCCAGAAGAACACACTTTTCTCGGGCCATTATCTCCGTAACCGTTCAACTTTGGACATAGGTGTTTTGGGTTATATCGGCATACTTTAACACTAGGAACACCCTCCCGAAGTATGGCACATTCCTCCTGGGACATCCTGTATTTCTTTATATATCATTTTTATTTTGTGTCTCGGAAGAGGTATAAACCAACTGAGCCAGTATTACTTTGTGAGTAGAAGGTATCTTTGTCACTGTGACTTTAAGTATCACTGTCGGACTGGCACTCTTTTCGACTAGTATTATAATTACTTTGCATCACTATTTTGTAAGCACTGCTAACAGGTGAGTGTGTCACTTATTATTTATTATTATTATTGGAGGGGGTGGGTTTCCCATGCACCGCGACCAGTGGTCTATTGTACGTCCCCGTGATATTCGACCAGTCTCTATACCCTACCAATACTGGTGCGTACCATCAGTCCCGACTCAGCCAGCGAGTTCGGCCTCTACTGGCTCAGCGGTATCTAGATGCTTCCCCCATCTACCAGAGGCGTTAGAGACTACTGTCTCAGCTGTTAGAGACTCAGCCAGCGAGTTCGGCCTCTACTGGCTCAGCGGTATCTAGATGCTTCCCCCATCCACCAGAGGCGTTAGAGACTATTGTTGGGCAGGAAATGTCCTTAATAATTTGGCTCAGAGGCCTCCTTGAGGCATGAGGTTCTTTTATGTGCCGTAAAGCTACGACACGGGACCCACGGCTTAAAGTCCCCCCCGGAGAACTTGTTCCCTGAATATTTCCGCCCTTAAAAATTCCACGACCTCCACCGGGTTTGAACCCGCGTACCTTGAGTCATGAGGTGGGAACGTTACCCCTACACTACGGAGGCCGCTGTGTGTGTCACATTGTCAGTCAACATAATTTATTTGATTTAGCTGGAAACACCCCTCCCCCAAGATGGTACCTCAAAATCATGCCCGATATTCAAAACTTCTTGATGCAGAAGTACTAGAGGAAATATTTATGAGTGAGGAATCTGATGAAGAGCTAGGAGAACTCAATGAGTTCAATGATCTTCTTGAACATATATCATCATCATCATCAGGTAATGAGGCAGAGGGCCTTGTGAATAAATCTGACAGGATGGTAAACAGTTATGGAACTGTTCGGAACACATGGAAATGGACAAAGAAATTATTTTTCCATCTTCTAGATATGACTATTCTCAATGCCTATCTATTACAGAAGTCATGTGGTGGAAAAATGACACATAAAAAATTTCGAAAATCCTACTGTGGGATTTGATTCTTAAAACACACGGTCAGTGGCATTTCTCAGGGGAAGGCCAAGTTCATGTGGGGCCCAAGTGAGTCGAATGGAGGTGAAACATTCACAACATTGGCCAACCAACGGGAAACAAAGACGTAGTGTGTTCACTAAATAAGAAAAGCAGGAGCACCCTTTTCTATTGTAAAAAGTGTGATGTTGGGCTGTCTCTCGTGGACTGCTTCGAGATGTGGCACAAGCACGTCAGAGTGTGAGGTTTCTTAAATTGAAACAGCCTTATATACAGTTCAACAGAGCGGCCTCCATAGTCTAGAGGTAACGTTCCCACCTCATGACTCGTGGTACGCGGGTTCAAATACCCGGCGGAGGTCGTCGAATTTTTAGGGGCGGAAAAATTCAGGGAACAAGTCCTCCGGGAGGGACTTTAAGCCGTAGGTCCCGTGTCTTAGCTTTACGGCACATAAAAGAACCTCGTCTCCAAAGTAGGTCACTGAGCCAAATTATGGACGTTTCCCACCCAACAGCAGTCTCTAATACCTCTGGTAGATGGGGGAAGCATTATAGATACCTCTCAGCTAGTAGAGCCGGTCTCACTGGCTGGGCGGGACTGATGGCAAGCACCAGTACCGGTAGGATATAGAGACTGGTAGAAATCATAGAGGGAAGCACAATGGACCAATACAGGTCTAAGTGCATGGGGAAACCCACCCTCTCCAATAACTAACTAACTACAGTTCAACAGTGGTGCGAAAGGACTAATCCAAGGTGAAGCACAATAGAGCATGGAAGGTCACAGTGCGGGGGCCAGTTTTTATGGCCCACTCCTTACATACATACATGCATGCATCTTAACCTGTGAAGTGACGCAGTTCAAACTCATGTACAGTCTGAACACAATATTATTGTATATAGTGTGATTATATTTACAAACTCACTATGTATCAAGATTGAAGAAAAAACTACAGGTAAGTCCTTTGAAATTTCATAACATATATAATAAATATTATATTTTGCACTTCATGGCAAAATAATCACAGTTAATTTTCATTTTTAAAAATGGCTCTTTTGTGTATATGCAGAAAATGTTATTGTCTTTCAGGCTGCTTTTAGTTTGTACTTCTATGTTGCATAGAACAGAAAATATGTAGTTTTTCTGAAAGTCTGCAACGTTAAAGACTTAGGGTCATTTAAATTCCAGCAGCAGGGGATTGCTGGATATTTAAAGTCTGTACATTAAAAGTTAATGGTGTCACTGTATTTAGTTTGATCATACCCTAATATTACAAAGATAAAGCGTCCCTGTACCCAATTAAGCACCACACCCAGAATATTCTTAATTTAAGAATTACAGGGATTTGAACGGTTAATGTCATGCTCCTGAATCTTTACCTCAAGTACAGAGCCTCTGGGCACTACTGAATAGGAGGCTGGATGGGTCCCAGAGTCACGAGGCCTTGCTAAGAAGTGAACCTCAGACATCCAGCCCATAGCCTATTCACTATACTAAGTATCCCACCTATCACATTATACAGAAATGCATTTCACAAAACAAGTCATAAAAGACTGAAGAGATAAAATAAAAACAGGTAACACAACACAAGCCAAGTCTCAAATCATTACAAAATAAATTAAATTAAAATGAAACTATGGGATAATCAGACAAAATAAAAAAACAGGTAAGACAACACAAGCCAAGTCTCCAAGCATTATGAAACAGATCAAATTAAAAGGACACTATGGGATAATCAAACAATATTTATATCTATGGACAATACTCGAGAGCAGTTTTCAAAGACAATGTATGCAGCTGACATTGTACCATTATGGAAATAAATAAAATGTGTTAGACAAATTAACATTTCTTCACTAGCAATCTGTCTCAATGCAAAACCTGACTGAGCTACAGGCGAATTTTCTTAGATAAACTATACAAAGTACAAGATGAAACACTTCAAACCTCTTTAAATATGGCCAATTATGCAACGCTTCATCAAGTAACATTTAATTTTACGATTAAGCATGTGAAGTTTAAACTTGTATAATCTAGATCTCTACACAGAACTTCTAATGCACAATTCGGACCTGGTATCTGACAATATGGAGAGTGAAGAATGAGGTGAGGGTAGGAAATGCCACCTTACCAGTTGAGGAATAGCTACAAAGCAAATTGGAAGGCATCCCACCCCTGCCCACAGTACTGTTTCTGCATTCTTTCTGGAGTTAGTAGTGTCAGGAGCCAAACTGCAAGTCTTTAATTCATAACAGATACTATGCACAATGAGAATCCAAAATTGTTCACATGACACATTTCACCATAAATGCAACCAAAAACTTGATTTAAATCCCACACAAACTATGCATACAGCACAAATTCCATAACAATTTCAATGCATCACTAACATCTAGGAAATTTCCATTAATCAATTTTACACAAATGGCCAATACAATGTCAGCTGGCTGGAGACTTGGCCCGTATATAAGTTTACCTGCCCAGTCCATACCTGACCCGTCTTCCAAAGGGCGTTTCTGACCAACACTCTCGCTTGTTCCAGTAGGGTTGATTTTAGCTGCAATCTGCATCAAAACAAAGAATTTCCAAAATAGAAACAATGAAAATGTCGGTGATGAACAGACATGTATCTCAGGGGCAAAAAACACTGAGGAACATCTAATTTCAGTAACCAGTACAATGTGCAATAAATGGTAAACTGAATCTTTTCAAGTTAATTTGCTAATGACTGCATTCCATAATCATATACAACATAAGAGGGGTATTTGGAAAGTAACCTCCATTATTTTAGGCAACTAATATAGGAGTGGAGCAGAGCTCGAACATGTGAGGTAGCATCATGACTCATTGCACTGTAACCCATCACTGGTCACCTTGTGTTTGTTCTCGTCTCTAGAGTTATAATATGCCCTGTAGTTTATTATCTTGCTAGCAGCGAAACTCTGGCACAACATATCTGAATCTTTCATATAATTAAGCACTTGCTCCCTTCATTTAAAATATCTGTGTCATGCTATTAGTCCAGTTCTTTTCCAGGTATTTGCACTGTAAACTGGGTTTTACTATTTAACTGTATTAGGAGCACAGCCCTTTTAATTCTAATTTCAACAATGCTATTAGAAGCAAAGCTTTGATCATTTTCAACTAATCTGCACAGAACTGACTCGAATGATGCAGGTTCACCATGACACTTCTCAAGTATGTAGGACTATAATGGGCCATAAATCACTTTTTCCTGATGCAATGAACTACACACTATGTTTCATCTCCAACTGAAACACTGTGCTTAAAACTTACATAAATATTCCATACAAAAAATCACGTAAGTTACACTAAGCTAACCTAATATCACACATAGATGTTAATATTGGGACTAATCCAATTTATAAGCACTGGTTTGAGGTTAAAAGCAAGAGCTCTGCCCAAGGTTGGTAATTCTTAATACCAACAAATACTCTCATATTGGTACATACCTCATACAAACATGTATGCTCTACTCATTCCTCCTCTACTTCAAAATGGTGATACGTTCCTCCACAACACTGGTACATATCTAAAGAACTACATACATAGCAATACACCCCAGATGACCACAATCGTAAGAGTAACAGACATGATAACCTCAAACCTGGAAGGGGTAGTTTTCTCAGCTGGGTGTATTTCTATTTCACCAATAACATTGTCAGGCTGGTATGTGAGCAGCTGTATGTCCTCATACGGTGATACACATAATGAAAGGGAGAGAAACTGCTAAAGCAGTATAACAGAACTGGTTGTTGACACTGGAGTTTAACTCTGTAAACATTCTTGACTGCATAGAAGACAAGGTATGTGAATTCTCTCACGCATTAAAAAATTTAATTTGTAATACAAAAACACTAAGAACTTACTCCCACCCATTACAGAGTTTAATTATTTTACAAGTTTCAGCAAATTTCTAGACCAATCCACCCCTCCTTCAGGTTGTATTACACCTGCCGATCCATCATAAACACTTTCCTGTAGAAAATCTTTGCATGTTTCATACTACAAAATGCTCTTTACAAGTGAATACTGAACTTATCCAGGGGTTTCTTTGCGGGCTCATTCAGTCCCTTGAGAGAATATGGGAAAAGTACCTTCAAATAACTCTGAATATATCATGTGATGAAGAGTGCCATACATTTAATCTTCAAGGCACATTACATATCACAGAAGATAATCACAGGGATATAGGCATCATCATATTTCTTCATGGTACAGGGGTTTACCAGTTCATTTAAATGCTTGCCTTTGAGCTCCAGTTAACACATTATATGTTCTAAGACTTTATTAGCCCACATATAAACTGTTATATTAACATTTCTTAATACACTGTTTCTGTTGGGCATTTTACCAAGTACTGAATCACATTGCAGTGTGACATAAGTCTATTTTTTAGGTGTATACTGAATTTTGTATAGTGATAAAATAAAGTAAAACTATCCCTGTAACAGGCCTTGGAGGCCCACACGGTTGTGAGACATTGTGGCTCCCGCATTTTCTAGACCTAGGGTATACAAACTACAGCCCGCGGGCCACATGCGGCCTGCAAAAGAATTGTGGAAAAATGCACCAATTGAACTAATTTTCCAGTGAGTACTGGTAAATGTGATTGCGAGCTTATTGACCTGACATATTATACTGCAGTTCGATGGCTTAGCTGTGGAAAGGTTCTTTCTCACTTCTTTCAGCTCAGGAATGAAATTGACATATTTCTTACCAAGAAAAACAATCACGAACCACTTTTATCAGATACTGAGGGGCTTTGGAAATTAGCATTTTTTGCTGATATGGTAAACCATATGAATTTAAAGTTGCAGGGTGAAAGTAACTTAGTCTGTGATTTATTTGCACTTATCAAGGCATTTAGAGCGAAGTTGATACTTCTGGAAAGCCAAGTGAAAAATTTTAACTTTGTTCATATGCTATACTGTGCAGAGTTGCATAAAAAGGGTCAAGCAGAATTTCCTTCCTCGTTTGCAAATTTAGTCATCTCAGATTTGAAGGAACAATTTCGGAAGCGAATTCCTGATTTGGATTCCAGTGCTCATGAAATTAGATTGTTTCAAAATCCTTTTGACTGTGATGCTGCGGATGTCGCAAGTCAAATTCAAATGGAAATTATTGAACTTCAGGAAAATTATCATATTAAAGACAAATACAAGGAAGGAAATTTGATCGAATTTTATAAATTTCTGAACTCTGAGCAATTTCCAAATTTAAAGAAATTTGCTTGTAAATTTATCTCAATTTTTGGGATGACATATCTGTGTGAACAAACTTTTTCCCAAGATGAAGTACATCAAGTCGAAATACAGGGCAAATTTATCCGATGAACATTTAAAGTCGCTACTTGTGAGTAGCGTTTCAAAATTTGAACCTCAATTTAATCAGATTTCAAGAATGCAAAAAGAGTTCCATCATTCACATCAATTGTTTTATTATAATTTGTGATGAAAATACATATGAGCATTTGCTGCTACTGTCTGTTGTCATTAGTATACAATAATTTATTCTCACGTACTTTTTATTTAGTTTATGAAATTCTGTGCTTTCAATAAAATTCATATACCTAGAGTTATTACTTTCTCATTTTATCCGGCCTGTTCAAAGTGCTGAATTACCTAATGTGGCCCGCGGTTCGAAAAGTTTGGAGACCCCTGTTCTAGACGATTGGCTCACAGATAGTAGTGAGGTTTCATATTGTGATGCAATCTGATTTTTATACACACCCATGTTTTCAGTGACACTGTTGAACTCCTAACCCCTTATCTTGCTGGTGCACACATACAACATCCTTCCAAATCTATCATTCTCAGGCCTCCCATCTGGTGCCATATAACCCATAGAGCTGAGAAATTTCTCTTAGGAAAACTGATGAACATTAGAATTTCAAAACCTTCTATAAATCTACCACGCATCATAGTTCAGCACCTTCTCCTATGGGCACGGCAAAGTATCATGACTACATTTATCCTACAATTTCCTTCCAAGCACTACTTTTTCTATCTACTTACACAAAGAGATCATGTAACTTCCTCCCTCATAATTTGGCCACTCAAGTGGAAAAAGACATTCTTAGCATAAACTCAACATGCACATGTTTAGACTCACAGCACGATAAAGAAGCCTATTGGACTAATCATAACTTATTCAAGCAGGAGGTGAAATATTACATTCTAATATCCATAAGCTAATTACTTCTATTTGGCATAAGGAAAAATTGCCTATCAGTGGAAGGAGTCTATTATTGCACTCATTCACAAGAAGGGTGATAAAACTGACTGCAATAATTATCAGAGGATATCACTGATATCATCATCATCATCATCATCAGTAACCTGTCAGATGACAGGTCCACAGTCTCTTCCAAAACAATTCCTCCACTTAATGTGATCTAGAGCTTTCTTCTTCAAATGACAGTATCCTCTTCTGTCCCCAAGGTCATCCAGCATCTTCTTACGTCTTCTTCGTCTTCTGGTCACTTCTATCCGCCCCTCTATCTTTCCTTCAATAACTTCTTTTAGAAGGCAGTTACTGTGTAAGATATGACCAATCCAATTAGCCTTCCGTTTTCTTATTTCGTGTAGGATATTCCTCTGTTCACTGACTCTAAATAACACTTCTTCATTTCTCACATAATTGGTCCAACCGATCTTCTCCATCCTTCTCCAACACCACATTTCAAAACTTTCTAGATGTTTCCGATCTACTGCCCTAAGTGTCCATGTTTCAGCCCCGTACAGAGCTATGCTCAAAATGTAGCATTTCACTAGTTTCTTCCTCAAATTTAAGTCCAATTTGCTGGTAAAAAATTCTTATTAACATCATACAAAATTTTTTATCCAATATTCTTCTCTCAAGGTTAAGTCCATATATAGATAAAAATTATTGGGGATCGTCAGTGTGGGGTTCGATGTAACAGATCAACTATAGATCAGATCTTTTGCATTCGTCAGATATTGGAGGAAAAAATGGGAGTACAATGAGACAGTACATCAGCTATTCATAGACTTCAAGAAAGCTTATGTTTCAGTTAGGAGGGAAGTATTGTACAACATTCTGATAGTTTGGGATACCCACGAAACTGGACAGGATGATTAAATGTGTAGTTAAGTCTGTATAGGTAAACATTTGTCTGATAAATTTCCTATCCAGAATGGTCTAAAAAAGGAGATGCTTTATTGCCACTCCTTTTCAACTTTGCCTTATTAGGAAGGTCCAGGGAAACCAGGTGGGACTGAAATTAAACAGGACACATCAGCTGTTGGTGAATCTCCTGGATGATAATATAGATACCATACAGAAAAACACAAATTTTAACTGACACAAGTAAGGAGGTTGGTCTAGAAGTAAACACAGAAAAAATTAAGTATATGTTGCTTCCTCGTCACCAAAATGCTGGGCAAAATCATGACATAAAGATAGGAAATAGATGTTTAGAAAATGTGACACAGCTCAGATATTTGGGAATGACAATAACACATCAAAACCTGATTCAGGAGGAAATTAAGAGGAGATTGAACTCAGGTAATGCTTGCTACCATTTGGTCCTGAACCTTTTGTTTTCTGGTCTGCTGTCCAAAAACGTGAAAATTAGAATACACAACACTATAATAGGTGTATGGGGTGATCTGGCTGAGGATGGGGACCAGTGGAGGGCTCTTGTGAACACAGTAATGAACCTCTGAGTTAAATAAAATGCTGGAAAACTCTGGAGTAGCTGCAGAACTGGTGGCTCCTCAAGAAGGGCTCAGCTCCATTAGTAACTGGACTAACCATAACAAAAAAAAAACATCGTAACACAAAAGATGCTGAAAATGAAGAAAGCAGTCTTCTGGGATTTGGCACCTTGTATATGTGGTGTTAACCGACGTTTCGGAGGAACGTATCACCTCCATCTTCAGGGTGGAAGGAAAAATATAAGAAGTCCACAAGCGAAGAGACCGTGTGAACCGGTAAAAGCAGACTGGTGTTGGAAATATACACAGCTATGTGAGAGCAGAGAAGAAAAGGGGGAAGGGCATGTATACAAATGAAATCAGTAGTGTGTNCTGCTTGTCCCAGCTCCTTCCCTCCCCCCCTCCCACACTACTGATTTCACTTGTATACTTGCCCTTCTCCCCTTCCTTCTCTGCTCTCACATAGCTGTGTATATTTCCAACACCAATCTGCTTTCACCGGTTCTCACAGTCTCTTCGCTTGCGGATTTCTTATATTTTTCCTTCTACCCCGAAGATGGAGGCGATATGTTCCTCCGAAACGTCGGTTAACACCACATATACACTGTGCCAAATCCCAGAAGACTGCTTTCTTCATAGTCACCGCTGTGGAAGCCTCAAATCTTATGATGCTGAAAATGCTCCCCATTAGACAAGCATTACTGGCACCTCCAAGCACTGAAATTTCAGAAATAATGAAAAACTTGAAATGTCATATCTTCAATGCCATCTCCCGTGCAAGACATCTGGAGGCTTTTTGACAAGAAATGTTTGAAACCAGCATCAATTTCATCCTGTGTGTCTTTAGTGAACACTCAGCACTATGATTTAATTTTTATCTAATAATGAACAGCTTAACTGATTTATGACCAATAATAACTGTAAGATCCTTAAATTTATGACAAAATTTTCTTACTTCTCAAATGGGCATTACACATGTTCACTCACTTAAACATCTAGCTCACATGCGGCATTTCAATACAAGCAACAAGACTAAAATAATACATCATACAACAGCAAATACTCATGATTATGGCAGAACAGCACACAATGCATACACTTGCCTCGCAGCAGCTGTGCAATGATTTACTGGGGTGAGGCTAAAGAGGGACTGTACTGCATACAGGTTACTGATTTATCAATTACATTGAGTGCATACAGTTATTGCAATGAGCATCCCTTATGACTGGTGATTTGTGGCACAATCTAAGTTGATCTCACTGTATAATTAAGGTAAAGCTATCCCCATTAACAGGCTGTGAAGGTCCACAGGGTTGTGAGACAGAGGCTCCCACATTTCTGTAAACAACTGGCTCACAGATGGCAGTAGGGTTGTCAGCCTTACATGCCAGCCACCCTTTACCCCCAGGAAGATTCCCCATACTTATTTCTGTTAGAGGCTGAGTCAACCCCAGGGCCATGTTGCAGCTGGAAGGATTAGGTAAACTGAAAAAAAAATCCACCTCATTGGAACTCAAACCCATGATCTTCGGGCTTGTGGCACAGTGCCTCAACCAACTACACCTCCACATGCCCCTCTCCCTGTATAATTGCATTTCTAAATATAAATCTCTACAATTTATTTTCAGCTGTTTACCATCCACCATGCAACAACATCAAGATTTAAAATTTAATCCTCTTTATAATTTGTCACTGCACTAGGTGTTTTGACCTACTAGGCCATCATCAGGTGTACTGAAATTCAAGGGAAATGCTGTGCCTTCCGTGCTAATCAGTGTTTTTGTATCTACACTGCTTTATATGATGTCAACGTAGTTCCTCCTCTATGCCACATGTACTGTCATTTTTAACAGACATACCAAAAACAATACATGTGACACAGGAGAAGGGACCACATAGACTTAATTTAAAATCGTTATATAACATCACACTGCACACTTGATAGACAAGAAGTATATCAGGAAAGAAAAAAGAAACACAATACATGTGACATACAAGGAATGACACTGACATTTAAAAGTATTGTAAATATGAAAACAGCAATCGCAGTAGTGCAGAAGGCTCAGCTGATCCCCTGAATTTCAATGCACCTGATGACTGACTAGACCAAAATGTGTAGTGCACTGACAAATTTAAAGGACTGAATTGTAACACTCGACACTGCTGTATGGTGGATGGCAAACAACTGAAATTCCAATACCAACTATAACAGGATGCTAAGATACACTTTACAGTTCTACCAATCAATTCTTGTGATTTCCTGAAAATAACCGTTATCCTAAACTGAATGCAAAAACAGAGCAAGTACACACATGGGAAAAAAATATCTAACATTAAAAACATACAAAACTATGCCATTAAGTGGAATTAATACCATCATTTGTTTGTGACTAGACACAGTGTTTGGTTTCATTTACTGTACACTTACAACCCATAACTACAAATAATTACAATTCACTACTGCAAACATTAAGTCTTCTATGTCTCACTAGTCACTGTTTGGCAACAGCATCTAGCAATGCAATTCAAGACTCTAACCACAAACTCTGATCTCCAGCTTCCAACTTACAACTCATGACTGCTTAAACTTCCATCAGTTACTTTACGACTGTTTGCCACCAATCAGTATGTCTTGGTGTCAAGACCCTTGGGGCTCCCAAGCAAAGTTTTTTTTTTTTGCATCTGAACCCCTGTGGTCATAATCCCTATGCAACATCCTTTCTGTCGAGAGGATTGGTTTCTCTCTTACGACTAGGTTTCGCCTTTGTCAAGTCCATGTATCACACACATATACCATGTTATTCAAAATCCTTCCTTACATCCAAGTCTTAAGTCAAAGTCATGTTACTATCAGAAACTAGTCAGCTAATCTGTCTTGGTATCAAGCACCCATACAGGGACCAAAACCAGATTTCTATTACTGTCAGACAGCTGCAGACTTGTTGATGTGGGGTGCCCTCTCTGACATGATGGTGGGTCTGTCATCTACAATTGCTGCTGGCCCTCCCCAACAGTCATTCTTGGGTCTGAGTCTCACAGGACTCATGACCATATTTTACTGTCTCAGACTTAGGACTCCAACCTCAAGGGCCAGATCCCCATATCACCCAGAAACAGGGTGCCCCAACTATAGGCCCAGACACTAGGTTCCCTTTCCGTTCCTTCCTACGAGTCACAGGGCTACAGTGGAGGTATTCAAAACCACCTCCACACAGGGGCTGACTAAACGTCCCAGGGTCCTTGCTATACACCCTCAACCCAGATTGCACACAAAACATCGCTTCCAATGGGTCTTCAGTTGTTGGGTGTATACACATTGTTGTGGGAGCATGCCTGCTGAGCCACTGTCCAGCAATGGCTGCCTTTATTTGTTCTACTATTCAAGCTTTCAGTCCTCATATCACAATACAATAAAAATGTAACTCCAAACATACACAACTGGTGCTCACTCTTGCAATTTTCCTATCTTCTCTGTATCTTACAAGTACACGGTAAGTATCCCATTGTTCCCATGGGTACATACCCACGATTCGTACAGAAACTCTGGAACATTTTAAAGCTACGATTCATTCGTTCACATGCAAAGTATATAACATTCTGTCAAATTTCTGACAAACCAAATACCGTGTAACTATGTACAACTTGCTCTTTGTGGACCCTGAAACAAATTACGTGCGCGATAAAAATTATATGAATTTTTCACACTGCGGAAATTGGTACGCCACTTTTGGCAGGTTATTTCTGGGTTGGAGGCATATTTAGTTCTGCAACATTTTACAACGTACACAAAAACAACGGTACGTCGACCACTACTGCCCTACACAAAGACTTTCTCGAAACGGCCATGACGCATACGGCGCCAAGGCCGGTCAGCACATGTACAAAATACGTATACGCTGCTTGTATAACCGCTTTCCTATGTTGGACCGTTACAAGGGTACATTCCCCAACGAGTGGTTTACAATAAACATTAAATATACAAAAGAAGTATACTATAAATATATATATAACAGCATGGCGCCAACTGACGTATGTACGCCGCGAAGGCTCCACAAAGCACGCTACTAAAACCGTTCCCATTAATCCAGAAGTCTCCCTAAAATTTTAAATTTATCATAATTAATTACCTGTCTAGCACGTTGAAGGGCAGCTGCAAAAGCTGAACTTTGACTAAAATTCGTAGGCGGAGCAACCGCTGAATAATCACTCATGTTGAACCATGAAGCAAGAGTAGATAAAATGGCGCCTCCTTCGATGAAGGAAGAATTGCAAACTCTCCCGCTTGAAGCGCTCTATTCCAGTTTCCGGAAGCTTGTGAGAAAACTGCTACGTACCTATGAATCCCATGAAACCCACGGAACGGACACAGATGACGCAGTAGTAAACCACGGATTAAAGTCACAAAGACGTGAATTCAACGTTATTGGTTCACAACGGAGCTTGATGCCTATTGTGCTGCCATCTGGAATGATAACTTTTGGGCGCACACTAAGGAAACTGGCAACCGCGATTTCCGAGAAAAATCGACCATTTCAAGCAGGCGATTGGTTTCTAGATTAACAAGCGCACATTGAGGAAACTTATGTTTGATTAATTGCTCACATCATATTAAGTGGGTATGTTTGTCCGACACCGGTCACGGTACCCGAGCAGTCTAAGACATGTACTGTCTTCGCTCACTTGGAAACCGGGATCGTGGGTTCGAATCACACTCAGGGCATGGATGTTTAGTTTCTGTGTGTGCGTTTTTCTGTGTTTGTGTACAGTTAGAGGCCTTACGACGAGCTGATCATCCGCCCAAGGAGTTCTTCCGAATGTGTGAGATCTAGAAAAACCGAAGTGAACAGAGAATTTCATGGAGGTAGGCCTAGGCCCACTGGGGCTGTAGTGCCAAGGAAAAAAAAAGTGTTTGTCCGGCGTAATGAATGATTGAATTTTTATTTTCGTGCATTTTCTTTCTGCAATGGAAGGTAATAATGTTGATCCTGTCATAACATGGTGGTAGTTGAGGTCGGTTGAGACGGCGTGAGAAGAGAGGAGGACCGTAAGGTAAATATTGGGATGGTAATTAATTTGTTTCAATTAAGGTTTATTTATTTTAATCAAGAAATATCGCGTTTACACGCGATTCGAAACTTTATCATACACTGACTCAATTTTAGGAAGATAGCAGACACCTGATGGCCGTATAAAGCCGAACCCTGTAATGTGGAAGAAGGGCGACCATAAATAAGTCGTATATAAGACGGAAATATATGTGAAATAAATGATACATTAATGCAACATGGTGCTAATGAAAAGAAAATTTTGGGTGTATCCGTTCTTCTGTGACAGTTTACACTGAGGCACTTATGTTGTTTGGAAAGAACTTAACCTGGATCCAGACTCTTTTTCTCATGAGAAATTCTTTCCCACTTAGTATTGTCTGGGTGGTTTGGGTGGCGTTTCTCATATATACCAGACTCTTGCTCAATTAACTGCACAGAAACAAAATTAGCAGCTTCGTAAATCTTTCGTGCCGCCTCAACAAACAAATTAATCATTGAAGCACGTTACAGAATAGTTGATACTAGGATACCACGCGGCAACGCAATTGTGAGAAGACTGGTATACTCTCTTGCCAGGATATTGAGTTTCTCAGTATCTCCGCGAGTTGCGTTGCCGTTTCCTCAATTTGCGCTGCTCCTTTCAGTAATATGTGTTCTACTCAGGCTGATAACAATTCTCGGAAATTGCGGTTACCAGTTTCCTTGGTGTTCCCTCTCCCAAATAATATTAGAGGAACGTAGTTATCCGTAATACGATCAGAGAAACGTGCATCGAACGCGACCTCATTATATCCGAAAGCAACTTTGTGTGACCAGTGGCCGATATAGCTCCAAAAGGTTACGACGAATGTGTGTTCGAGACAGTATCTCTGCTGTATGTAACCAATGATTAGGATGACGGGACATGAATTTTGTCAGGGATCGACTTGACCGTTTTCAGTACACAGGATCATATCCGATCATATCTAATGCATGCGCAAACTTGACCGACTTCAGTACACGGTGCACACGATCATATCAGATTATATCTAACGATTGCACAGGATTCTGCTGGCGTCAGTCTTATTGTGGAGGCAGGCTCAAATACCGCAAATACGTGTGCCGTAACGCTGAGTTGCAGAAGGAGACGGAAAGGGAATACTGTTCCTGGAGGTATAATTGGGCCACCCTCTGCCTACAGGATATAAATGCGGGGACGTGGGCCTCCAGGAGTCTCCAAGGTCTCGAATCTGAGACAGTAAAATATGATCATGAGTTCCGCGGCACTCTGTCTCGAGAATAACTGCGCAGGCGAGACCAGCAGAAATTGTAAACGACACGCCCCTCACGGTTCCAGTTCAATGCTTGTGGATCATCTTACCATTTGATACTGTAAAATCTGGGCAGCTGACATTGCCCCACAATAATGACATGTTTGTTTGTGTCTTACTTATCTAGAAAGGAAATAGATTCAGTACATTAACATTAACGAAGTTTGTATTTTAGCCCATGCTGGACATCGCATCCATTCTTGCTTGCATGGGTCATGCTTTATTTGTGCATCAAATAATGAGGCAGTGGAAAACATTCAGTTATAAGTACATCACAACCACCAAACTGAAACACAATTACAGGACCAACTGTCAAATATAATAGTTAGGAAACGGCTTTCTGTTTATAATTGTAGGACAGTAAACATTGCAGCTCCTTTCTAGACCTATAATTTACATAAATAATTCCCTCATTGCTAGGAATTTTTTGTGGTAATATCAGAATGGATCTTGATTCCATAGGAAGGTTCCAGATTCTTCCAATCAAGTTGTTTAAGGAATCAAAAAGCTAATGGAATTGGTGTTAACATGAGATATGCAGAATGTATGAAGCCTCATACTAGCAACAGAAATGCAATTGAGATATCTAGTTCAATTTTTTTGAAGCTACTGATGATATACACAATGTCATAAATGATTCTGGAAATTATGGTTCAAAGTGGTTAATGTGAGTCAACACAGACATTCCAATGTCGTGGGAAAACCTGACCAATACAAATATCTGATATATGTACATAGAGTTTCTGTTTAGTTTATATCCATTGTGCTTCCCTCTTTGTTTTGTACATAATTGGAATGCTTTACAATTATGGACTACAGGCTAGCTTTTTTCAGTACACTCACTGTCATCTGAATAATTACAGGGATTGAAATGGCAGAAAAAAAAAAAATTGCAAAACCCTAATAATATTGTACAGTTGTTTTCTGTTGTTTACCTTGAAATGTTATGTTCAACAAAACTCTAAAGTGGTCCCTGTGCTTAATTATGCATCATGCCTTGAAGCTGTATGATGGAGTAGAGCTATAGCTCCAAACATTCTTAAGCTCAGCAGTAGATGGAAGTGAGTGATCAGCTTCACATCCAGCTGCTTTATGCCCCTGGTGCCCAATGAGTACAAGCTGGCTGGGCCTCAAAGTTTGTGTGCATGCTTCAGAGAAGAAAATGTCTTGCCTCTGCCAGTAATTGAATCCCAGTTCCTCAGTAGTACACATAATGGCCTAGTCCCTGTAGTGACTGAGTTATCCTAAGTTCAAACTGAAAAGGTGCTGGCATAAAATGCAAGCACTTTCCACATTAAAAATATGTGAATTTCCCCATGAATAAGTTCTGTTCCATACATTACTCCATTTTCAACATAAAAATCTCTGTACAATTAGTCATATGGGCTTATCTTCTATAGACCTATTCATTCATTCATTCATTCACATTCCATAAAATTCTTACAAGGTTGAAATAACCAATAGATATAGAAATCGTCCAGAAATATAGACTCATCTTGCTTAGAAATCAAGCAGTTGTCAAAATAACAAGTTTATAGTATACAAAATTTAAGTCACATCTAAAAATTTATCGTGAAAATAATAAGTAAGACATTGAAATTTTAAGATAAAAATATACTAGAAATCATTTTAATTGTTGTTATTATGTTAGGACATTCAGTGTCTCTAAAAATAGCCTGAAATAACTAGAAGGGTTGATACTGACTATTGCATCGTTCTGAACATTGAAAATTCAGCTGGAAATGAATTATAATTTTAGATAGCCAAATACCATTTATAAAATTTAAAATAGACATTTTATCATGTAACACAGTTAAAAACAGTACTAATGTGTGAATAGGATGTTTGATGTTTTCATGTGGGCACTTAATGATAAGTAAGTACCAAGGGACAGCAGACAGTGCTGATATGGTAGCAAAGCAAATGCAGCTAAAAATAATTATTGAGCTTTGGAACTGGGTAGCACATTGGACAAACTTATTACTATCACAAATGAGAGAATAACATTTTGGATTTTGGGGGGCGGGTTGCTGTGTGCGCATGAAATTTCTCATTGGAAAATTTAAAAAATTAGACCCTACTTTCTTGGATTGCATGCCAGAATGACTGTGCATGTTATATTCATTTAAATACTGCAACTGTCAACTCCATCTGAGACTATTTGAAATGTGAACACATTCCCTGTTTCATAGTAGATAAAATATAACAAATATTGGCATAAAGTGGCAGACATGGGACATGAACATCTAAATAATGCCAGACCAGGTTAACAATTCAGGTTCACAATTACTAGTTTGGGAATTATTCAAGCATTTAGTTCATCTCCTTCACAGCTTGACACTGATCCATCAAAACAGCAATAACCTTTCAACCATACACTTACATATAGAAGGGAAGACACATGCCAAAGTAGTACTAAACCTTAAAATTTGAATAGTAGATTTACAAGACCTTCGTGATTGGCTCTTTTGTAACAAGTTTATAAACTGCTTTAATAGTTCTGATTTGCTACTTCTGAAGCCAGCATTCTTCTTTCCTAGACAAAAAGAGGTATCCCTACCTCACATAGCGCAAAGTGTAGCAAGGGAGTGCAGTGTAACAATAGACTGCTAGTCTAAATGTGAACTTATTACAACTGTTACTGGCCTTGACTTATTAAATAACACTAGTTGAAAACCAGTGATTAAAATAATATTACATTAAATTAACTCAATATGTGAATTTGATAAGATGCTGGCCACTTTAAAAGGGAATATCACTGAATATTCTGCAGTCCTTAATGTCCTCATGTAAATGTCTAGGACAGCTCATACAGTTAAATGCTTTAAACATGGCTGTGCAAAGATGAGTTCAAAGATGAGTTCACAATAATATTTGACCCTCAATATGTCTGAAAGTGGCCAGTAAGATTCAGCTTTCATTTTCAGTTGAATTGAAGTGTGTATGGACATGGGTTTGACA